GTGTCTCCCTCTCTCTGACCCTCCCCCATTCAAGCTCTGTCTCTCTCTATCTCAAAAATAAATAAACATTAAAAAAAATTTTTTTTAAATAAAATTGATACACAAAAATATGTTGCATCTCTTACATTTATAACTATCAGAAAAAGAAATTAAGAAAACAATCCCATCAAAAAAGAAAGAAAGAAAGAAAGAAAGAAAGAAAGAAAGAAAGAAAAGCAATCCCATCTATATTGCATCAAAAGCATAAAATACCTAGGAATAAATTTAACCAAACAAGTAAAAGACCTGTATACTAAAAATTATAAGACATTAATGAAAGAAATAAAGAATTAGTAAATAAATGGAAAGATATTTCAAGCTCACGGACTGGAAAAATCATTATTGTTAAAATGTCCATCCTACCTAAAACAATCTATAAATTCAATGCAATCTGCATTAGAATTCCAATGGCATACTTCAAAGAAATAGAACAAAGAATTCTAAAACTTGTACAGAACTACAAAACTCCCTGAATAGCCAAAGCAATCTTGAGAAAGAACAAAGCTGGAGGATCATGCTCCCTGATTCCAAACCATATTACAAAAGCTACAGTATTTAGGGGTGACTGGGTGGCTAAGTCCGTTAAGCATCCAACTTTGGCTCAGGTCACAATTTCACAGTTTGTGAGTTTGAGCCCCTCATCGGGCTCTCTGCTGTCAGCACAGAGCCCACTTCAGACCCTCTGTCCCCCCACCTCTCTCTCTGCCCTCCCCCGCTCATTCTCTCCCTCTTTCTATCTCCCAACAATATAAACATTAAAAAACAAAAAACAAAAAACAAAACCCACAAAGCCACAGTAATTAAAATACTATGGTACTGGCATAAGACCAGACGCACAGATCAATGAAAACAGAATAGAGAGCTGGGAGATAAACCCACACATATATGGTCAATTTCCGATAAAGGAGCCAAGAATATACAATGGGAAAAGGACAGTCTCTTCAATAAATGGTGCTGGACAGCTACAAATAAAGAATGAAACGCAATCATTACCTTACACCATACACAAAAATTAATTCAAAATAGATTAAAGACTTGAATGTTAGACTTGAAACCATAAAAAAATCCTAGAAGAAAAAAATAGGTGATAAGCCCTTTGGCATAGGTCTTGGCAATGAATTTTTTTTATTAAAAAAATTTTTTTAATGTTTATAGTCATTTTTGAGAGACAGAGTACAAGTCGGGGTGGGGCAGAGAGAGAGGGAGACACAGAATCCGAAGCAGGCTCTAGGCTCTGAGCTGTTGGCACAGAGCCTGATGTGGGGTCTAAATCGCAAACCATGAGATCATGACCTGAGTCAAAGTCAGACGCTTAACCTACTGTGCCACCCAGGCACCCCTTGGCAATGATTTTTTGAATCTGACACCAAAACCAAAAGGAAGAAATGCAAAAAGCAGTGTGACTACATCAAACTAAAAAGTTTGGCACAGCAGAGGAAACCATCAACAAAGTCGGGGGGGGGGGGCGGGGGGAGGCAACCGACTGAACAGGAGAAAATAGTTGCAAATCATTTATCTGGTAAAGAGCTAATATCAAAATATATAAAGAACTCATAAACCCAACAGAAAAAACCCACACAATCTGATTTTAAAAATGGGCATAAGATCTGAACAGACATTTCTCCAAAGACGTACAAATGGCCAACAGGTACACAAAAAGATGTTCAACATTGTTAATCATCATGGAAATGCAGATAAAACCACAATAAGATATCACCCTCAGACCTGTTAGAATGGTTATTGTCAAAAAGAGAAGAGACAAGTATTGGTGAGGTATGGAGAAAAGGAACATTTGTGCATTGTTGGTGGGAATGTAACTGGTGTAGTCACTACGGAAAACAGTGTGGAGTGTCCTCAAAAAATTAAAACCAGAAAGAAAAAAAATAGAAGGGGGCAAACCATTAAGAGACTCTTAACTATAGAGAACACACAGAGGGTTGATGGAGGGGAGGAGAGTGGGGGATGGACCAGATGGGTGATGGACACTAAGGAGTGCACTTGTGATGAGCACTGGGTGTTATATGTAGGTGATGAATCACTAAGCTCTACTCCTGAAACTGATATTACACTATATATGTTAACTAATTAGAATTTAAATAAAAACTTGAAATATTAAAAAAAGGAAAAAAAATTAAAAACAGAAGTACCATATGATCCAACAATACCCCTTCTGGGTATTTATCCCAAGAAAACAAAAACACTAACTTGAAAAGATATCTGCATCCCATGTTTATTGCAGCATTATTTACAATAAGAAAGATATGGAAACAGACGGTCTATCAATGGATGAATGGATAGACATTGTAGTGTATGTTGTATGTGCATTTACATACATATGTACATATACACATATATACACAATGGGACGTTATTCAGCCATTAAATTTTTTTTTCCACGTTTTTATTTATTTTTGGGACAGAGAGAGACAGAGCATGAACGGGGGAGGGGCAGAGAGAGAGGGAGACACAGAATCGGAAACAGGCTCCAGGCTCCGAGCCATCAGCCCAGAGCCTGACGCGGGGCTCGAACTCAGGGTCCGCGAGATCGTGACCTGGCTGAAGCCGGACGCTTAACCGACTGCGCCACCCAGGCGCCCCATTCAGCCATTAAAAAAAAAATGAAATCTTGCCATTTAGGACAACACAGATGGACCCTGAGGGCATTATGTTAAGTGCAGTAAGTCAGACAGAAAAAGGCAATTACCATATAATCTCTCTCATTAGGGGAATTTTAAAAAACAAAACAAAACAAACAAAATGAACTCACAGAGAACAGATTGGTGGTTGCCAGAGGCAGGGGGAATGGGGTGACAAAATGGGAGAATGTGGCCAAAAGGTACAAACTTCCAATATAAAATAAGTATTTTGCAGCCTCAGATATTACCATTAAGGCTTTTATGTAAAGTTTACCATGACTGAGAATTGCATATAACACGAGGTCTACTGAACTGCTACTAGAATTTCTGCTGATAAGATTCCCAACTTAATTTAGGTTAGATATAATCCCAAATGGCATGTATGTACGTATGTATTTATTTTGAGAGAGAGAGTGTGCACGTGCAAGAGAGAATTCCAAGCGGGTTCCGGCTGTCCACGCAGAGCCCGATGCGGGGCTCCATGTCACGACCTTGAGATCACGACCTGAGCCGAAATCAGGAGTCACACACTTAACCGTTGGAGCCACCCAGGCGCCCCCCGAGATGGTTTTTTAAAATGAAAACCAACAAGAACTCACCACTTTGGCAAGTTAAAAAAAACTTCCTAGGCTACACTTAAAAAAAAAAAAAAAGTTGGAAGAGAGATTGTGAGGTTTCTTGAAACAATCCTTATGAATTTTAAGATAAACTAGGAACACATGTGAGTTTCGTGTATCGCAAATAAACAACAGAGTTAATGTAATTGTTCCATGAAAACGCAGAGCTCTTAAAAAGTTGAGAAACCTAGGAAGAATGATTTCAAAACGTCTATGTCGTGGCTGAACTTGAGAAAGAAGACAGCACTTGTGAATGAAAACCAACCTGAAAGATACAAAACTGGCGGCTGTGGTCCCTCTCCCTTGCTCCCTCGGGGGTTTCAGCATCTCCAGGCAGGTTTGCTGCAGGAGCGTCCTAACTGGCCCCTTGCTTCTGGCTCTCCTTCCACCACTCCGCCCTTCACATGTTGTCCACTGACCTGCCTAGTATGTAATTCTGATGGTCACCCCTTTGCTCAGAAGACTATTGGCCAGAGAGAGGCAACCCCCTTGAACTTTGCAGGATGCCCCAAGCTGACCTTTCCAGCTTGACTTTTCTTCCCCGTGGCCGCACCTCATCTACGCACCAGCCACACAACTGCTTCCTGAAGTGTCCACACTCATCCCGAGTCAGCTCGTTGGCTCGCTCTGTTTCCTCTGGCCTGAATTCCCTTTCCCTTCCCTGGGAACCTCCTACCCAGCTCACGCTGCCCTCCTCCAATGCCATCTCCCCGTAAGGTCTTTTACTGGACCTGGCTGTCATCCTCTGTCCTCTGACCCCTCGATGTACTTTCAAGTGCCTCCAAAGGAGCTAGTATTCCGTCTCGCGCCAAATTACTTACCATCTCCACTGCGGGACTATCAACTGTCTGAGGCAGAAGCTGTTTAAATTCCTACTCTAGCCCCTGAAGCAAGCAGCACAATGCCTTACACACTGGAGGCGCTCAAGTATGTAGGGAGTCAAACTCTATCAAGTTCTCTCCAAGAAAGTCACTGGAGGGAAAATACTTTGAGGACACAGATGGAAAACTAAGGGATGGGTGATAGTAATGTATTGAGAAAGTCTCAGAACATGCAAAATTTATACCAACGGCAGAAATATTTTACTTTCGTGTGACTAAAACCTACAGGCTTTTGTGAGGTCATGATGGGAGGAAAAAGCCACACATAAAACCTCTCTTTCCAGGTAAATAATATATGAACTAAAGGAGAGTAGCCTTTAAAAAATAAACTCAATCATTTTTCCCCAAGCTGTAGAAAGTAATACAAGAAATGTTGACAAGTCTGTTACAACGGAATCATAAATGTAATCAGCCTCGGAAAAAAAAGCTTCAAATACTTCTGACCTGTGTGAATTTACTCTCAAGTAATAGGAAGCCAGGGTGAAAATCACTAGCTGTTCCTTAATCACAGGCTCCAAGAATGAAGGAATGAATGAATGAATCAGGACTTAATAAGACCTGATTGAGAATGCGCTATAAACCACTGCTTCACAAAATATCTGTGGGAAAGAACTGGTTCGGAAATACCTCTTACGTGTCGTGGACTGTTAGTTACTGTCGTACAATACAATTAAATGCTGCAGCAACGTCTAAAGGTTGAGGCGTGCTTCCTGTACTCGTCACGGGCCAGTAACAGACTGTGCAAACAGGCAGCATCTGCTGCTTCTCCACATCCACATCCACTGAACCCACTACCAAATGCAGGGGAAGGTAGGATACGTGCCTACCTTCTGCTCTCGCACCTCAAACACTGCTTCAGGGACACTGCAAGCAAAGAGCGAGGTAGGCAGATCGCTGAAATCCATCATCTCTTCCAAATCATCTTCATTTTCACCAAAAACCATCTCTTCTTCCTCTTCTTGGTCACTGCTACAGAGATCTGACTGGCTGTCATTCCAAGATTTCATAGTGTCCCTCAGCATTATCCCCTAAAAGCAGGTCTTTTCCGTTTTCAAAGTTCTAAGGTGTCTACCAGGCATCTGGTGTTAAAAAAGAGAAAAGAGCATAAAGATAAGACTTTGAAGGCCAAACACTGTTCCAGTCAATTCTCAAGACAGCAATTTATCAATGGAAGCAATTTTATTCAGGGAAGATAAATCAGAGTCTAAATCAATTCATTACAGTCCTCACAAGTAAGTTCTATATATTCTAATTTGATTTGCTTAGCATAGTTAATGTAATACATTTCACGGCAATGACATATTACAAAAAAAAAAGGGCAAAAAGTTTTCTAGTGACATGGGGGGGGCGGAATGGGCAGTACGAAATGAGACAGTATCAATATGTACGCTAGTTTACAAGCAGTAGGAAGGAAAATGTGAACCAGAGCTGCCTTCACATATTTGTTTTGGGTTTTAGGTCTACAACAGTGAAACTGGAGCAGCTGAATACAACCCACACGGATTCATTCACCATCTGCACCGTGAAACATGGTCTGCTGCGAGATGACTTCACCTGTCTTAACCGATTTGTTCTTTTTGAATATACTCTCAAAGAACCCAGTTGCACAGACCCGAAAGTTCTCTATGAGGCAGGTCATTGTCAATACCAGAAATACGGATGAAAGGCAAAATCTGACACAGACGACAACTGAAGAGATGACCTTTTTTCTGAACATTTATAAATTAATAATCTTAATCCTGAAGGCCTGGAGCCGATAGCGGCCCTCTGTTAAATAACGGAAGAACATCTGTCTTCTATGGACTTTCTGCATGTCGGTCTCCTCTGATGAGCTGTACCCACACCCTCCGAGCACACTGCCTGGACCCTAACAAATTTCAAGATGCTAAAATGGAATTTTAAAAATACCAATCAGGCACAGAAAAATCATGCGATCACGACTGTTACTAGCTTACTATGACTTCATTTGTGATTTTACATTTTATTTCAAAGAACACAATGCTGCAAATATATTGCTTATACAGAGTACATGACAGATGTCAATTACAGGCTAAAAACAGTAGAGGTTTTTTTTCCCCCCATTATTCTACTACACCAATCAGGAAAGACTAATTCCCCAAAGTCAAGTCCTTACTCATTTTTATAAACATCTTCTGAATGCCCATCACATGCCAGGTATTATTAGGCATATTAGACAGGTAAGAAATAGTTCTGTCCTCAAGGAGCTCCCGCCAGAGCAAGAATTTCTTCTCAACGATGCTAACCAATCCTGAAGGATCTTGTTCTAAGAGTTCCCATGCTTTCAATTTCTGCTTCTCCATCGGACCCTTTTCTTCAGCAAACACACCTACTCGGGATTCCCCACCCCCACCCACCCAATCTTAGAAAAAGAAATCTTCCTTTGGAGTTCTGTCTTCCCCTCCAGCTACCTCTCCGCTGCTTCTTCGCCTCTCCTACCAATTCCCTGCAAAAAGTAAGCTGTCCTGCTGTGTTCTGTTCCCCAACAGCACGTGCTCGAGAACTCGGTGCCACTGGCCTTCTGCCACTACCTTCGGCTGAAACCGTCCTCACGTGCCTGTCTCTGCAGCACCAGACACTGCCGCCCACCCGTCACTCGTCACTCGGCATTCAGTGTGCCTCTGCCTTCCAGGTAGGGTCTCGGTCCTTCCTGGCTCTCCTTCCTAAACCAACTGTCTGTCACTGGCTCCTCTGTCGTCACTCACCCTCTACAAGTTCATCTCTTTGAGGTTTCCCTCCTCCTCCTCATCTTCTTCTTCTGGAGTGGTTTCATCCATCAAGCCTTTAACCACTTAACTGCCAGTGCTTCTCAGCTGTTTCCTGCTCACCCTGTGGCTCACACACACAACATGGGGCTATCAATACTGCCTCTCATTTTCCGCAACGAATCGTAAGCTGGGAAGGATGTCACCGGAGTAAGAGCAGAGTCTTGGGCAATGGCGGGGGGGGGGGGGGGAGGTTGGGTGGAAAAAGTACATGATCCCAAGAGGTTCTAATCTGTCTCTAGGTCTTTCCTGCCTATACACCCTGAAAATCACTCATCTGTATGATTCATGCATCCAGACTCAACCTCTGTCCTGAGCTCCAGACTTGTATTTTTAGCTTCCTATTACACATATCTGCCTGTGTGGCCCACAGGTACTACAATTATTTTAAACTCCATACCTTTAATTAGATTATTGTGCTGTAAGTCTCCAATCTGGAAAGGGGCCAGGTTGGGGGGGGGGGCAGGGCGAGGGAATGGTATCTCACTAAGGCTTTCTTTGTAATCCTTTTCTGCAAGACTAAGCTGTCAGAGTTCATAATTCTCACAACACTTTGTTTATTTCTCTGTTACATACTTACCTGGTGACTGTTTACAAATCACTCCCTGTTACCAGACCGTGAGTGCCTTTGAACCCCTTGTCCCTGGCACAGTTTCTGGCTGACAGTATAGGCTTAATAAGGATTGCTGAATGAAAGCAGATAGCACTGTGTTTACCCCACTAATACGGCAGCACAGACAGAGGAAAATTTAATTCTATGTGAGATTAGAGACAGCTTCCCCAAGGATGTTATGGAGAGACTTAAAGATAAACAATTTCAGCAGAAAAATGAGGGGGTGCGTTCCAGGCAAAGCCTGAACAGTTCAAGGACAAAGGGAGGACAGATCATCGTGAACAAAGATCTGATGTGGCCAGAACGTAATGTATTTGGTGGGGTGGCAGGAGACAAAGTTAGAAAGGCAGGCATGGGTCTCCAAGCTGCCTTAAAAGTAGGGTTACAGCGTCCTGATACAAAACAGAGTCAATATCAGCATGCCATTGAAGGTTTTTAGGCAGGGAAATGATATATTAACCCAATTTAACTTTCAATATCACTAAACGTAGATTGTCTTTATATCTTATCTCTTAGAGGAGCTAATGTTTTTAATCTCACCCGACTCCCAACCCATTACAAAGAGGTGAGGAAAATACTGTGCGTGGTTTTTTAGAGAATGGAAGGTTGGGGAGCTCTGAATGACCAGATTTTGAAATATGAGAAAAATCAAGCCATTTTTGACAAGATTTTTTGTTTCAAGTTCCTTCCTCCAACCCCTAAAAAGGAAAGGAAAGGGGAGGGGGAGGGAGAAGAAAAATCAGAGCACAGGAACAATCCCTCACTTGACTTAAAAAAATTCTTAGAAGGTTATACCTTCGTTTCCTGTTTTCTTCCTTCACTTTAGGGTAACTTTTTCTTGTGCCGTAATTTCAAACAGAAAAGTAAGACTAGTAGAAGGAAGTCCTGAATACGTTTTACCCAGAGTTACCAATTAATTACATTTTTGCCCATTTTTAAAATCATTGTTTCTATATATATCCATACTTTTCCCCCTGAACCACTGAGAGTAAGACAAGTGTGCTGTCTTTACTCCCAAATACTTCAGTGTGTAAGAACAAGATCAGTTTCCTACATAAGCCACAGTACAGTGATCAAAACCAGGACATTTAACATTGACATAATACTGTTATCTAAATCAGTGTCTATCTTCACATTTTGTCAGTATTCCTAGTAATGTCCTTATAATTATTTTCTCTTCAAATGTTTTAGGTTATTGTTAAATAATTTGCCTTTTGTTCCAAGATATCTCAATAGTCTTTATAGTGCTGCTACATTTTCTTTACTTATACATTACTGGGTATTTGATACACTTTAAAAGGATGGACTGATGAAATATCACAGTACTGCAAACCAGCTTGAACAGTCTTTAAGTATATCCCAAGAAGATTCAGTCTCTATAATCAATTTTCTAGATTTAAACTCTGGCTCCCCAGTACTCTATATTAGGCAAATCACTTTGCCTCCCTTTCCATTTCCTCAACTGTAAAATAGAATTATAAAATAATAACCCTTACCCAAAAGGATGTCAGAAGGATTAAATGCTAAGTGCTCAGAACAATGCTTTGCATATAGTTAGTGCTCAATGATTTTTACATAGGCACAATCCACATCAATGAATTGCTGGACTGAGGATGCCAATAATGTCAGAACCATCAATGGAACAGATATTCAAGCAATAAAATGAGAAAAATACATGTCCAAATAATCTAATTCCAAGCAATAAAAAGGCTACAAAAAGAAAATAAACACTTTGTATCATTTCAAGAAAACTGTTCAGTGGCTGATCTAGCAGTAAAACCAGCTCAGAGCAACCACTGGAAGGAGTACTATGGCTCCAGGAAGAAAACCATTAAAGATTTAAAAACAGTTGGCTGAAAAAAGGCCATCGTGCTTTTTTTAAGAGCTTCATGGAATTTTATGTTGTAATTCAATGCACACGGTATTAGAGATACTATCTTTCAGATGATGCCTCTCTTGCTGAAGGCAAGCCACGAGCTTTTTTCGGATATGGTTTAAGTCAACATCATCGACCATTTCATAATTTTCTGATATCATAAAATGCAGTTAGATTTGATCAGAAAGAGATGATCAAAATCAAATAGTGGAAATGACAACCTTCGCACATCTGTAAAATCATCTTGTAAGGTAACTCAGCTTAACAAGCAGTTTGATTTCATTAAGACAAAGAAAATAATTACAAAAGTACATTGTTTCTATGCTGTTATTACTGGAGCAGTTGCTAACTCTGGCCCACTCCAACTATTACAAGATTAAGCTGTCCCTAAGTTTACTAAACCAGGGAAACACGGACTGGTTTAACAGGGCTGAACCAATATCCTCCCGCTTCTGTAAGCAAAGGTCTGCGCTAATCAGGGTTTAGCATCATCTCAGTGCCACTGTAGCTGTGGCTGGCTTCTGGCGAATTGTTTCTTCATGGAAACATCAAATGAGTGGAAAACTCCAAGTAGCATGACCATCTGTTCTCCTACCAGCCTTGTGACAAAAGTAATCCATCACGGCAAAACGGCAGGCATGTGCATTTGACTTGGCATTTTAAGTTTTGATTGGGAAAAGGCAAATTCAGCCTCTTCCAGGATTTTTTGAAAAAACAATTTTTCAAAATAGTATACTTCTCGACTTGTTGAACCTTTAAAATAGCTTAGCTAGGTTCGCTTTTATTATTTTTCTGATGTACTCAAAA